GAAGTTCCTAATAGTTAATTTTTTTATCATTTAAAGAGGTGATTAAAAAGAGCTTTTTGAACCTCCCGAAAGGAGGAAAAATTTATGGCTCAGTGTAAGCAAATGGACATGAGTATCTTTGAAGCTTCTGCAACTGACACATTTGATGACACATCTATCATTTTATTGATGACCTTCTACATGATCCTATAGATAAAGAAGCAATTAACTTACAGATTCAGACTTCCTCCTGTGACAGGAATGACCCTTTGCCTTGACAGCTTGGGCTTTCTGAACCTGTTTGCCATTCTGCCTTAACACAAAATATATCTAAGCCTCTTTTCTGAGGCAAATATTTAGGTAACTTCTACACAGAAGTAACCAAAATGCTTTCTGGTTAAATCCTCTCCATTACCAGAAGATTGTTTGGCACAGATGATACACAAAGAGGATAGCTCTTGCTCTTCAATCCAACAACTCTAATGCCAAAAGACTAGAGTTTCAAGCTTGTATTGCCCATTTCAATGCTCCTATACTAACAGGTGCATTGCCAAAGTGCTCACAAAATAGAAGGAGAAAATAAAGGTATTTCACCCCCTCCCAATAATGGATACAGTTAGTATGAAGCCTTTTTGCTTGGCAGTTATAAAATGGTAATTACAAGTGTAGAAAAAGATTAGCCTTACGCAAAGAAAGTGAAGAAATCCCATCCGGACTTCAATTCAAAATGTTTCTTTTGAAAGGCACACACCAAGGACAAGACAGTCAAGAGGAGATCACACAGCTAATTATTTGGAAAAAATAATTTCACAGTATTCTAATTTTTATTTTTGAAAATTTGATCAACTCTTAGGGAAATACAGAAAGTACACGTATGGGGGAAGTGAAGGCAAAGGTAGACCAGCTTACTGCTTAGACCACTAGCAGTACACCAACTATCATCAGGGGAAAAAAAAAAAGTCTTATTTAACTTCCCCTCTATTAGCAGCTACCTTCTCCTTGGAAAGGTCTTAAGATTTTATGGTCATAAAAATTTAACAAAGAGCAACTGTGTAAAAAAAAATAAATAAATAATTAATACTAAAAAGACCATCAGCCAGGACCATCATGGTCTATTAATATAAACTTACATTGTTGGTTTCTAGACAGATTTTTTCTGTATGTGTATTTTAAAACTCAGTTAAAAATTATTTGCACTGTGCAAGTTAAGTCTTCTAGAAGACACAAGAAAAATTTAGCACAGCACTGGCACAGCATAATGGTCCCTCCTGACAGAAATTAGATGGGAAAAATAGTTACTGAAAAAATGAACACTGAGATTCATTTAACAAGTATATTTTCAAAGTTGCCAGCAATTAAGACTATGAAAATGTTCTCTAGTAGTATTTCTATATTACCAGATGAAGATAAAATAAATAATTTTGAAGACTGATTGTTACTGTTGATGCACAGTGACAGCGACTCAGTATTTTACAGTGAAGAACAATGCTCCATCAGTCCAGATTTTATACAGTAGCAGGGAAATATGTAACAATCAGGTAATCTACAAATCTGAAACACCGCTTCAAGTCTGGATTATTTTTTTTTTTTTGGTTGGTTTGTTTGTTTCTTTTAATTGAAGAAGTTGTGGTCAAACTAGAATAATCTTTGTCTGATGTTTAATAAAACAAAACATTAGTTTTACAGGATTGAGGTTGATAAAACTATGTCAAAAGGTTTTTGGAAGGGCTCTTTACAAATGTGTTCCTAACACTATAGCTATGCAAGCTGATTTACCACAACTTTGCCCCCTCTTCAGTGGTACAGAAGACACTCATTTTAGAGGGTTTGCTTTTGGCTTGACCTCTTCTGAGGTTAATATATAATATTGATAAAAAAATTACCACTTAACCATAGACTAGCGGTTTTCCTCAGTGCTTAACTCCAATCCAAAAACTTTAAAGGAAGTTCAGTTTAGCCTAATGTCCAAATATTAACTACTCTGGCCACTCTACAAATCTTGTTTCAGTGTCTGCAGAAGAAATTCCCTTGAAAACCTGATTTTACATGAAATCAGGATCTCTCTCCTTGGAGATGGCCAAAAGGCGATTGGACATGGCCCTGCTTGAGCAGGAAGGTTGGACCAGATGAATCTCCAGAGCTGGTTTCCAACCTCAGCCATTCTGGAATCCTGTGAATTGCAATGTAACAACTACCCTGTACTTGCAGGATCCTACAGGTTATCTTTTGTTACAGTGAACCTCTGTTTTAACTCTTACAAAGAAAGAGCAAGACAGGCATAGCTTTCAACTTGTTCATCTAACTTGTATCTGAACTTCAGGGACTCAATCAATCAAGCCTTCTAAAGCAAATCTAGGTTCTCTATGCACTCAACATAGTGCATGTCAGCACAGCCCTTGTCTCAGAAGACCCAAGACAAATGCTGCCTTCTTGAGTTAGACAGTCAATCATGAATGCTTATTTTTGCTATCAGTTCTGCATTAACCCTCCAGTTTCTGAACTCTTTGCTATCTAGAGGAATGGGCAGAGGCAATCTTTGAGGTTCTCTGCATGCTGGGAGCTTTCTGAAAGGTTTTAGGTTTCTTTGCATTAATACAGCACATGTGGGAACATTTGCCTTACTTTCAGCAAGCTCACAGTCCTACCAGACGGGAGTATATTCAGGAAATATTAAACAGGAACCATATAAAACAAAATTAAAACACAAATAAGCATTTTAACCAACTCTATATTGCTAGTATTTAAAATGTAAGCTGAGTAGAAATGAGTTAATCTTGAGTGCTGAAATTATACAAAGCCTACATTTAGCAACTATTTTCACACTCGCAGCGCACATTTCTCAGTCACAGTCAACGCAGCAGAACTCAGTAAACCACTCCTGTTTAATAGGATGTCATTTATCTGCAAATATACTTTACAATAACGGATTTTCAACTACTGCAAATTGATTTTATTTCTTTCCTTCCAAATGTCACTGTGCCACAGAGAATAACTCCTTTGAAATTAATAATAATGAAGATGCATTGCATCTGACAGCCCTAACAACATGTTTACTAGAACATTCTACCTTTAAACAGATACAGAATCAGAAGAGAATACTTTTTCAGATTCCACTGTTTCAGCACACAGTTCTGTATAAACAGAATTATCCTACTTAAAAGTTATTTCCATTTTGGTATTATTACTATTTGATAGTTTTATTTCGGGAAGCTATGACATACTGCAAATTATTGCCCCAAACAATAGTTTATCCTTTTGTATCTACTTTAATCAAAATAATAGTCTCCTGTTTCCAGTAGGTAATTCTGGCAATTAATTATCCTAACTTACCCTAAAAGGACAACCCTAAGGTGTCACTCACAAAGAGAAACAATACTAAAAATATTCTTTCAAACTGCTACTGCATAACACAGTGAGAGATTTATTCATGTTTGTATTTTACATATTTTGTTACCAGAAACCACAGAACAACAGGAGTTTTGCCAGTGGTGTGGGTCATTATTTCTTTCCTATAATATGAGTTTCAGTTAAGAAATTCTCAAACATGCTCACCCTCCTAACTCAAATGCTGCCATCACATTCCACACTGAAACTTCATTTACTGAGTTTCACTTTTATTCCAGCTCTCTCCCGTGCAATTTGCTTGCATAAGGAAAACACCTACTTATCTAGAAGGTGTATCTTATTTATGATTGCATGCGCAGAGAACGTTTTGGAAAAGTGTATGCTCCAACGTTAAAGCAAACTGTAACTAGAAGCCCAAACCTTTTGTTTCAGGAAGCAATATATATCCAGGGTTACTTCAGCTTGACTAATATATTAACACCGAAAATGAAACAAAAAACTGACCATCAAAACTGCATGCAGCGCTGCCGTTTCCTTTCCTCTTTCCAGTCCGAAAGTTCTAACAAAATATTCTCCCTTTTTTTAGCACAAACAGGGCAACAAACAGCAACTTACCCATTTATAGCTTCAACACCAAGTACAGTTATGTAAGGTGACCTCTAACTATCTGCTTTGTAGCAGCACCCTCACAAAAGAAAAGCAAGGTATACAGCGCAAAACAGCCCTAAGATGTTACCCCTGCTGACCCATAACTACCCTCACACTTGAACAGCACAATAAAGAGAAAAATGACCTTCAGGAATGTACAATTTAAAATGTTAAAATGGAAACTGACAAGTCATTTAGTGACAGAACAAACTTAAGATATTAACACAAATCTTCCTTGCAAGCAAGAGCCATGAAACAGATAAAGGTGAAATGCTGCAGCCAACTCTTGACATCTGAAACCTATTTCAAACTGCTAATAATACAGTCTATTCTTCAAAATTTACATTGACATTTACTTTTGCTCACCACATTTACCTCCTGCTTGTGAGATTAGCAACATGCACGTTACATACAAATAGCTCTTGGGTCCAGCTCTGAAGTCCTGTGCTGTTTTTAACTGCCACTGGAGCATGTGATTAGACAGAAGCTATGATCAGACCAGAAAATTAAGCATACTGCAATTATGTTTAGAATTGTGCACGTTGGGTTGCTTATAGTGTGTGAAAACTCTACCACTCTTACTTCTTTTCTTTACCCATTACTTAGAAACTAGTTGTCTTCAGTTTCCTTTTTGGGAAACCGTTTTCCATATATAGTAAGGAGAATGGAATTCAGAGGTGCCCAGCAACCCGTTCATAGAACTTATCTCAGCAGGGACTTTCATATGTCATTAGAGAGAAAACAAGTGGTAGTAACCAGTGAGTCATTTTATCTTACAATTCTTTTCTTATACAGGTACAAGTAACACTGCATGAACTCTCCTGTAATCAGAACTACTACACCAGGAATTGGTGACCACTCAAAGCCAGCCAGCCAGCCAGCCTTCTCTCTCAAGGTCCAAACAGTTTGCATTAGCACTTACTGATATGCATCCTGTGTGAGCTCCAACTATTAATAACTATTCACTTTAAGATTAAAAAAAAATGGCACTTTGCTGTAGTGACCATTAGTTCGTGTGCATACTTTACCTGTACATCATTGGTGTTCATTCTTGTTCCGTCCTTCCCAACAAAGATGTCATCGATGTCAACCAGAACATACCTATCCAAGGACAGTCTGAGCCTCTTGCCAGACAGGAAAGAGACAGCATCTATGAAAATCAGCCTGTGCAGCCAAAAATTCAAGTTATTGCCGAAAAGGACTCGCTGAATCCCATCGTGGAGCCCCAGATCATGAATTACCGTGGCATAGAGAGCACTTATAGCAGCAGGTGGTGAAAGGTTTTCTGCTGTCTTTACTTTAGCAAATATCACTGGTTGATAAGTCGTATGATTAACGTGGAAAACTGCCCAGTCATTTCCAAGCACTGGACCTTTCTCAAGCTTAGAAGATTTAGTCACATGAAGCAGTGGGGAATGAGGGTTAATGCAACAGTCCTTTATACCCAGATTGCTGTGGACATGGAAAGGAAAGCCCTTCAACTGAGAGCTCTGCAAGCTGTTCTCATTACCTTTGTGAAATCCAATAACACCTACACCATACTCTATACAGTACTTATCTAGAAGGCCTCTGTTCCAGGAGTCCATGTTCACATACTTTAGAATATTTTCATATACTATGAGAGCATATTTGCCTTTATTTTTGTCTATAAGCACTGGGAGGTCACCTTTCCCGGATGCAATCTCAATGTGAAACTGAAATCTACTAGATTCTAAAATGGTTATTATATCTTGGCCTAGTGCTGAATACTGACTTTCCACAAACACCAGCACTACAAGATCTGTCCTCAGGGGGTCAACGGACTTCATGGTCTTCATCTCCATCAGCTTGTACTGCAACAGTTGAGGATCACCACATTCCACTTCTGAAGAGATTTCAGGAAGTTCATTTTCCTGTTTGTAGCCATTATACAAGTAATATGCAGAAATAACTATGCTCACCATACAAAAAGTGGCCAGCAAAATAACTGTCCTTTGAAAATGTCTGTGAAGTTTCAGGATAAAACTCATGTTGTTTACTTGCCTTAGATTGTTCTTGACAGCAGCATTAAAAACAAACACAGATTCTCGACAACTTGTTCCAATCCTCTGAGGTATTTATGTAACCATTGCAGCACACACCTCTATCTTCCACAAAACTTTACAGAAGGTATAGTCTAGAAGAAAAGAAAATCAGAGATTTAATTAAGGCATCCCACCTGTTGGAAGTATCATCACACTTAGAGTAACAGTGAGCAAAGAAATCACTGCCAGGCAGAGGTTTAGAAACAAACAGTTCAAGACTTCAATAATTCCTTTTTTAAATTTTGCATTAGTAGCATTATTTCTTCCGGCTCCATTAGCTGCCACGCTTGCTTGAATGTCTCTAAATTTCACAGGCTCCTTACCCCAGAAGATCAAGTAAAAGAGGGTAGGCATAGGAAGCACTGAAAAACAAGATACGGCAGCAAAGAACTCCCTGCTTTTTGATTTTTTCTTTTTATTTTTCCCACGGATAAAAGTAAACTCCCAATAGACAATTTGTGACAACCTAAACACTGAAGAAAATTTAAAATCTTCCTCTTTCCACCCCAAACAGCTGGGGGAACATCAGTCTATATGACTAAACAAATTTTCTTACATTACTTTTTGAAGAACCAAGAAGTGCTCAAAACACGTATGTTTCACCTGTTGTGTACCTATCGGTATGTACAGCTACATACTGGTAGAACCTGTATTATGTGTATTATAGGAGTATTTTTAAAACAAAAACTACACTTCCCCCCACCCCGCAACATTAAAAGTAAACAAATAACATTTCACTGGACTATGTACTGTTTTGCAGATAGTGCAAATTACTTCTTTATTAAAAAAAGCAGTAAAATAATCCAGCTTGTAAATTTAAGAAAAGAGAGTAATAAATCAAAAGCTAACTTAAGACGCAGATCATCTAATGATATACTTAGGCTTTAACTTGTACCTAAGGAAGGCAGCCTTTTCTCAAGCAAACAGTACAACTGCTGTCAGAAGTTTCTAGTAAAACAACTGAACGATGTGACAAATATCAAATAATTAAGTAATATAAGTTAGAAAGGAAGATTAAAAATACATTTTGAAAACTACAAAGAGTATGAAAAACACTTGAGTGTATAAAGATTTAGAACATGCTAATGTAACTTCAAATGTAGTACACAACCATTTGTTAATTGGACAAGGATAAACTCTTTTTGTAATGTTAACAGGACCATTTCCCAGCTAAGCACATGCTTCCATGCTCAACTGTTTGGTTGTTTGGTTTGGTAGGTTTTTTTGTTTGTTTGTTTTCTGTTGTTGTTGTTTTGGTTTGGGGTAATTTTTTTGTGGTTATTTTTTTTTTTTGTTTTAGTAATGAAGAAGGACTTAAAAGGTCAATACCAAAAAGTTCCAATATCCAGTAACCAGTATCAAATAGTCTGTACTGATTGACAGAATATTAAATTTTCTTGTGAGATCATGGCTAACAAATGGTATCTACTCAAGCTCTATCCAATGTTTTGTACTTTCTAAGGTTTACTGGGGGATGTTAGAAATGTTGATTCCTAAAATGGCTGACAACCTTCAGTACTGAATCAGGGAGCAGATGATAATAGAAGAAATAAAGTCAGCTTCTGATCCAAAATAAACTACAGTATCTAAAAAGATTAATTACATAGTAATAAGAGGCGGGGAGAAGGGAAAGGCAGAGGACAAAACCAAATAACATGTCAGGTACTTGAGCCATTTAACCACTTGACAAAGGCTCCTCATCCTACAATATAAGGAAGGTGGTCTTTCAATCAAGGTTTTAAAGTTAAAAATGTTATGCACATAACAGCACCTATGTAACTTCCACAACTTTAACTAAGTCCCAAACACTGATCCTCCCAGTGCCATAATGAGCACAAAGTAAAAATACAAGAGTAGGAAAAATAGATAAGGGGAAAAGCGAGAAACTACACAGCACTCCAGTTATCAAACCAGCAAATTTAAGCACCAAGAGTAAATATACATAAGCTGTCTCATTCATAATTAAGGTTCCCTTCAAACCTGCATCTCGCCAGACAACCCTGCTTTCTGGATATGTTAGAATAGAATCATAGAATAGTTAGGGTTGGAAAGGACCTTAAGATCATCTAGTTCCAAACCCCCTGCCATGGGCAGGGACACCTCACACTAAACCATGTCACCCAAGGCTGTGTCCAAACGGGCCTTGAACACTGCCAGGGATGGAGCATTCACAGCTTCCCTGGGCAACCCATTCCAGTGCCTCACCACCCTTACAGTAAAGAACTTCTTCCTTATATCCAATCTAAAGGTTCTACTCTCTTCACCTCTACTCTCAGATAGGAGTGTATTAACCCTTTCTGTTCTTGGTAGACTTGCAACCAGCCTTGAACCATTCCTGCAGCTGCACACAGGTTTTAGAAAGGAGTTTCAGGAGTTTTGCCTTGCACCCAGGCAGAGAGGGTCATTAATCAGTGTTAGACAAAAAAAAAAAAACAAACAAACAGCAAAACCCAAACCAAAAATCCACAAAAAAACCCAACCAAACAAAAACCCCCCAAAAGACAACCAAGCAAAAAAGAAAACAAAACAAAACCCATAAAAACAAACAAAAAACCCTTCAAAAAACAAACACACAACACATACTAACAGTTTCTCAGTTTCCTAGAGGCATGGATCTGAAAAGAACATACAAAGACTGAACAACAATCTGAAAATACCTTTAGAAGAACTCAAAAAACCTTTTTAAGTATGGAGGTGTCTGGTCTTGGTCACACTACCTTCAAGAATAATACCAGTTTAGATAGCAGAAGAGAGATACCCAACACTGTAAGAAGCCAGGTGAAAAGGAAGGAGCTCCATCCTGAATGAGTAACACCAAAGAGATGTTTCCAGACAAATGATTTTACGTTACACATACAAAGGCTTCTCTTCATTTTGTATTTCCAATTCAGCCGTCTGAATGCCAAGAAACTCCCAATTTGAGTGGCTAAAATTCTTACTGCATTCTGTAGACAAGCCGTACATATGCCTGCTTATCTTCAGTAACAGCAGACCTGGCTTGCTTACCTCACAGAGCTCAGGGCTGGTTCACCCAAGAGATGTGAGTCTGCAAAGCAGAATTCCTGCTGACAAAAGTATTACTTCTTTGAATGACACAAAGTCAACCACCACATGACCAACAAGCACAATGCTCACCTGCTTCTTTTAGCCTTAAGCTCCTCTAACACAGCTCCAAAACAGCCCTATTCTTAGGACTTTGGTGGTTTCTGTCATATTGAGAGGGAGTTCCCAGCAGCATGATCTAGACATTTCTTTCTTTACCAGCCTACACTTCTGACAGTCACTTGAACTTGAGAATCCTGCTTCCAGTAGGAAAAATTTACAGTGACCTAAGCTCATGACAAGGAAGGACTGATTAGACAGAATTGTTTGAATGAGCTATGACTGAAGGGGTGCAACCCCAGGGCTACTAAAGTCAGCAGCAGGAACGCTTAAAATATTTGCAGCAAGGACACAGCTTCTAATGCGGCTCCATAGAGCAGAAGATCTGGAGCCAGCCCCGAAACCTGTATTTTCTTCTAGAAAGCCTCTGTCATTTTATCCCTGCCTCCTAGTTGCCGGTACCTCCTGGATCGGCAGAGAGCAGCTGTAAATGGCTGAAAATGCCAAGACAGATGCGAGTTTGAGAAGTGAGGAATCCTCCAAGACCCAGCAGGATACAGCTAGACTTGGCATCCTCCCCACTCAAGACAGGAAGGTAGAGGAATGGAACAGAGTAAGGCACACGTTTGAAATACATGCCGTCTTGAACAATCTTGATGCTTATGTAATTTTCACTTAAGAACTGTTTTGCATGGCAAGAGCTCAAAAGAACATAAAAAAAAAATAAAAATACAAAGAGAACGTGCATTTAAAAATACCAAAATAGTTTCAAAGCCTTGATGAAGTAGCTGCTGTTCCCCCAGGAAAGCAACACTTTACTCTTGAGCAAGAGTACTTGCTAGGTATTCCACTAGTATCTTACAGCACTATGCTACAATAAGTCATGCATCAAACTTGACAGTGGAGTTTTCTGAGCTCCTACCATTTACAGTTTTCTTTAGTTTTTTGTTTCATTGCTACACATAAACAACCAAACTCTTGGCTTCTATAAATCACTTCAGCCAAATAACCCTAACGGCAATACTTGCATGAGGCAACACTGGCTGGGGATACAGCCTATTAATAAAATACAGAAAGTGAACATGAAGAATTTGAAACTGTAATTCTTGATTTTTTGTATTTTCTGGCAGTAAAGTTTATATGATAAACACCAAAGCAGCCAGCCTGGAAGCCAGTCCCTGGACTCAGACTCACGGGCAGCCGCTTACAGTGTCTGTGGGGTTGCCATGGCACTCGCAGAGCAAATACTGTGCCCTCCTTGGTACATTAGCTTGCAGTGAGACTTCCACAGCGCACACAGCCAAGGCTTTGTGTGACTGGCTTTTCTACGCAGCAGAAACATACTGTTTTCTGGACTCAGCAGTTGAAAAGAAACGTGGTTCTGACCATTCAGTATTATAACTGGGATTTAAGGTACTGCAGGCTAAAACCCCACCCTCAAATTAAGTCATTTTCAAGTTCACATCTTCATACAGTAATGAATACTTAAATAGGAAGCCAGGTACTCACATAAAAACAAACACATAAAACTGCTTACAATTAAAAAAAAATTACTAAAGCTGTATTATGAGTATCAAAAAGATTCTTAAAACTACAAGAAACATTCTTCAATTCAGTTGTTTTAAAAATTATCAAGATTAAAACAATGAGATGAGCTCAAATACCCACAAGCAAATGAGAAATTGCTCTCAAATCACATTTTCAAAGCCCAGTAAAAAATACCTGGTTTAGTCTTCCCTCAAGGCTGTGCAAGGGTAACTGTTTACCATGACCCTTGATTAGAAACAATAAAGTTGTATCATACTTACACACAGACATAAAAAATTGTGGTTTTGTTACACATGGCATAACAAAAATCCTTTACATGAAGAACTGCCAAAACCCAGAGCTAGCTCAGGATCAATTGCTCATCAGTATTATTCAGCTATATTATATTTGTCTGGTTACACATGCCTGAACATATTTTTAATATCTTTCTCCTCTTCTAATAATCCCCATCATTATATTCTGGATCTGCTCTTCACTAAACTGGCCTCTACTACAGTGCTATTTACATATAGTAAATGAAGGATGAGTTTTAAATTAAGAAGAGACAAAATCCAGACATACTGTTGGCAAATCAATAACTCTCCGCTGATTAGAATGCTATTTAATTGCTTTAAACATAAAAGCCTGCTTTGGGCAGCCACTATGAAATATGACCTTAAAGGAAGTATTCTGAAGTCACTATATGAACGTTACTAAAATGAAAATCTTTGGATATACGGATGACTTGGTAGGAAGCAACAAAGTGCATTTGGAAACAACCAAACCTGGGATGGAGAGTAGTGGTTGGATTTTGAAATCAGTTATGAAAACATAAAACTGGTCTCTAAATACTGAGTACACCTGCTTACAATGTTATTTTACTGACTGATGTATTTAAGCAGTAATAGCTCAGAGAGGCAAATCCAGGCTGAGAATGAGAACTTATGACTGCATATGAAGATGACAATTTCAACTTGAAAAAGATTGCAATATGAGACATGAACTGTCTAGGGAAGCTGTTGAGACTGTTTAACATCAGACAACAAACCTTGTAATGCATGAATACTGAAGGGCTTACATTCTGCGGCACATATTTGGTTTTATTTGGGTTTGCTTTGGTTTTGGTGGTTTTTCTTTTGTTTTGTTTTTTAAAGAACAGTTTAGGCAAAACAAGAATTTTATATATGAGATATGTTCTAGATAGATCTGGTCTTTCAAGTCTTTGGTGCAAGCAGATTTCCATTTTCATTGTACCTATGATATCCTTAGATCCATATTGTATTGCTTCACACACTACTACAGAACCTTATGGGACAGAAATTAATGCATCAGAATTTGTCATGAAAAGATATATATAAAGATTAAATTTATGATATTTTATAATATTTTAAAAGACTACTTGTAAGACTTTAAGAGAGTACAGAAGTTGGATTTGGTCTTCAAATTACTATTTTACCTTCATACAATACCTTCTATTGAAAGATATTAAAACACATTACATATCACGCAATTTTTGCATCTTATACAATTTCTCATTCATTACCCCCTCCAATTATTTTTCATCATTTGCAGAAACATCATCTGAAGACTAAACGATTTGCTCAAGACCTTTAAGATAAATATACAACACATTCTGTTGGCCAAAGCACTACTTTTCCCTCTGTTTCCTCCTACAGCTCCCAAGCACAAGCCAAGTGTAGAGAGTTAATAAGGTGGAGTTTGCCACCATTCCTTCCTAGGGCTCCGAGTGGTCTCTCAGGAAGTGAGTGGTGATGCTAACAGATTTATCTCATTTTCCATTCTGTTAAAAAAGAAATAAAGACACCACACCAAAACCTGAAGCAATTATCTAGAACATCAAGTGATGAATTTACTAATACGAAAGCTTTCTGGCATCTTCCAAAGGCTACATATGACAGCTGAATCTAGCAGTAAAACACACCGATTACTGCACGGGATTTTGGAAATCCACTACCTATGAACACTTGAAGTTTACTGCACTGCGATGACCGATTTTGTTCCCCATTACAGTATGTCCGCAAACACTAGAGGGCAACAATGTCGCACCGAAAAACTCCGGGAGGGGGAATGGGGAAAAACCCCAAGCAGCTGAAGGACTGAGGTAGGCACCGCACCATCTGAGGCGGGCAGATGCTAGGTGAGCCAGTAAAGAAGAAAGACAACGCAAAACCCAAAGAAGCACCACACAACAAAACTGGAGACGGACCCTCACACGGCGGGAGGATCGGGACGCCCCCGTGCGCTGGGGGACGAGCCCCGGCAGCGTTGCTGCACCCACCCGGCACCGGACAGCCTCCAGATCCAGCTGCGCTCCCGAGCCAGGCCTGCCCGGCGGTGCCGGAGGCTCAGGAGCCTCCGCAGCGGCTCGGACACAACTTCGCGGAGGGGCGGCCGGGGAAGCCGACAGCGCACCGCCAACCAGCCCGCGGGGTCTGGACACTGTGCCCCGCAGGTCCCGGGGGCACAGCGTGGAGGAGCCACCCGCCCCAACCGTTACCTCCATACGCGCTCCGCCGACATGCCACCGCCGCGGGGCCCGCCTGAGGGTGAGCGCCTGCCTGCCTGCCTGCCCGCCTGCCTGCCCGCCGCAGCTCCCGCTCTCGTTCACCGGCGGCGGGCGCAGGGAGCTGTAGACGGTCCTCCAAGGGGAGGCGCCGACACCCAGCTGGCGTGGGGAGAGTGGTGCGGTGCGGTGCGGTGTGGAGCCGCACCGGCACCGCCCCCGCCACAGCCCTCCCGCGGCAGGGAAGGCCGGCCCCCGGGGATGCGAGTACCGCTAGCCTCGAGGAAAGGCGCCGCACCCGCACTCACCGGCGAGGAGCAGGCAGGGCTCCGCCGTGCCATTTCCCACCATTGGCCATCAGCGGCCCTGTCGCTCGTCGGTCGCCACCTCCCTTTCCTCCTCCCCTTTCTCCTCCTTTTCGGGCGACTCGGCCAGCCCGGGAAGTGGGGAGGCGGAACTGGGCGGGGGTTGACGCGGCCCCTCTCGCGGGCCTCTTCTGCCTCTGAGGGCCGTGGTGGTCGCGCCCACAGGCACCTGCGGTGACTCCTTCCAGGGACCAAGGACCGAGGCTCCTGCTTGAGGTAACTTTCCCACCACCTCTTGCAAACCACAGGCTCCCTCTGCTGTGGCGTTTTTTACCGTCTGTTTTAAATAAAGTATGTTTTGGGGGATTTACCCCGAACCGCCGGTGCATGTTTAGGATATGACCAGTTTCTGAATCGTTTCATATGTGGCAGCACAAAGTGGAAATTCCGCAAGGTCAGCTGTATTTTCTTAAGACAATTTGGGGTTAAAGTATCGACAGAATGCCAAGTAATGCGTTTGCAGCCTCACTGCTTTTCTTTATTGAATTTTTTAACCCTAATTTAAACAGAGTTAGTCCCTCTGAATTATTTTTCACTGATACTCTGCATCCTTTGCTCCAGAGATGGGGCTATTTTACTACTGCAGACTAGGGAGTTACGATTCTCTGCCTGAACCACATTATCTTCACAAATGAGAAGTAAAATTAATAAATTTTACAAGTGCTCTCTTGATCTAGCTAATTTACTTCACAATTCTTTATTCTCTCTTTTATTCTCATGACACACTCTGAAGGAACACCAGAATTTTAACATCTTCTAAACTATTGGTCTCAGGCCCCATGAGCTAGACTTCCTGTAGGACAGAGGACTTACTGACATGAGGGTGCACTCTGTGTGAGTCTGTTGATCCACAGAATAGAGTTCCTCTGAAATCCTGTTCTACACAAACGGATTCTCTCCCATATTAAACTTCTTAAGTGCATGTTATGTCCTGACAGAGTCTTGATTTTGAACCTCACTTCTAGGAAGGATTTTTCCTACAGTATGCTATCAGATATGGGTTAGAAGCCAGCCAAAAATGACTAAAATTCTTGAACATGAGTTCAAACTCACCAGTGGGCATGGTTTCCCTCCTATGAGTCTTTCTGAGTAGCTTGCGCTGGTTTTAAGTTACCACTGTCCAACATGGACAGAAGAGTGTTACATACTGCTTGTCCTTGTAAGCACTTGGATGCTCACAGAGATGTGCTAGACATTGCACAGCTGAAGGCTTCAGCACTGCAAGTCAGCATCTGTAGCACTGAATGGTTCTGGCAGGAATTTTAAGAGCTTTGATCTTTCTTGGTGCTACTTTTCAGACTTGAGCTGTCATTGAAGCATGAACTGGTCAGGAGGTCTTAGCCATTCTATTAGCAATACATATTAAGATACTGCTGAGTGTGCTTCTGGCCAAGATTTCTGCCTGGCACCCAATATGTCACAAAACAAACTGTAGTAATGCGGTGTTACATTACTATTGAGTGGTACATATGGCATAATTGTGGCTGTTTCAATATCTGATGTCACATCTAATGTGTACCACCCCAGAACTGAATAGATAAATGAGTAATTAATTCGGACAAAAAATGAGGTGAGAGGGAAACCGGTGGGCTACTAGTTGTATGCAAAACAGAGGCATATTAAGACAACTGCCAGTCTGTATTCTGAGCTAAGGCGAACACCTGTACTGCTGCTGTTGTTATGCAAGGCAGGGACTGAACCCTAGTTCCCAGATGAATGTATCGATTTAAACATGTAGGATTCAAGACTTTTTGATGTATACCAACACACCAGATCACAGAATGGCTGAGATTGGAAGGCCCCTCAGGAAGTCATCTTGTCCATTCTCCCTGCTCAAGCAGGGTTACTCACAACAGGCTGCCCAGGACCACATCCATTCTGCTTTTGAACATCTCCAAGGACAGAGACTCTACAACCTCTGGACAACTTCTGCCAGTATTTGGTCACTCTTACAATGTAAAAGTGTTTCCTGATTTTCAGTGGGACACTGCTATGTTTCAGTTTTTGTCCCCTGCCTCTGGTCCTGCACTGGGCACCAATGAAAGAGCCTGGCTCCATCCCCTCTGCACCCTCCCTGCAGGTATTTGTAGACATTTATGGGACCTCCCCAGAGCCTTCATTTTTCCAGGCTAAACAGTCCCAGCTCTCCCAGACATTCCTCATAGAAGAGATGTTCCAGTCCCTTAATTATCTTAGTGGTCCCTCACTGGACTCTTCCCCCACATCACCATCTCTCTTGTGCTAGGAGGCCCGCAACTGGACCCTGTGCTCCAGGTGTGGCCTCCCCAGTGCTGAGCAGAGGACAAAGATCACTTTCCTTGACCTCCTGGCAGCACTCCTAATGCAGCCCAGGATGCTGTTAAACCTCCCAACAAAGGCACATTGTTGACTTGTGTTCAACTCGGTGACCACCAGGACCCCCAGGTCCTTTCCTGCAAAGCTGCTTTCCAGCTGGTCACTCCCAGCACATACTGGTGCCTAGGGCTGTTCCTCCCAAGGTGCAGGACTCTGCCCTTCCCCTTGTTGAACTGCACGAGGTTCCTGTTGGTCCATTTCTCCAGCCAGTCGAAGTCCCTTTGCAGACATACCACATGCATTCAAATTTGAATTCCCTCATTTCCCATTAATGGATGCCTTCAGTCTGCATCAACAGGTCACTTCAGTGGGAATTAGCTAAACTTGGGAAAAATAACATGCTTTGTATGCGCAAGCCTTTACTCTTCTACTGAAACATGAAACTTAGGCACTGAAACGCCATTCAGTATCTGGCACTGAATACTTACTTGGAATATCTGTTTCTGATAAATTGGGGTATTTTTAGCTAATTACTTTGAAAATTGTACCTTAATGAATTCCTGTCTATTCAAATTACACTGTGTTCTGACAGCACTGTTGACAATTTATGCCTTTATACATACACAGTTATGTGTATGTAGCTTACACACAAGCTGATAATTCTGATTACACTCTTTCTCTTGAAATACTACAGTGAAAAAAGATGCGTATAAGAATTTCCAGCAACAGTTCCATCCCAGTTCAGCTTGGCTTATTAATCATCTCCTATCTGGAGAATCTTTAAACATGCTTTCTTGCAAAAAAAAAAAAAGACTTAAAAAATAGGTAGCCTAGCTTCTCTGGTGATACCTTAGCCTTTGCCTTTCTTACTGCTGGCCTCTACACATGAATGCTCTCTTTCTCGTTTTCCTTCAAATTCAATTCTTCACACAATGCTTCCTCCTTCTGCATAATTAGTAATCTATCTTTCTTAAATTTCCTGAATCCTGTCTCCTCTTGTGGTCTTATGTCTTTCAGGCTACCATTGCAAGAAAAAGTTCTAATCATTGCATGATTCTAAGTCTACAAATAAACTCTTGGTCCTTCCAAGTCATGCTGAAATATGCGTAAAATTTAGGCATTTGTGTTACAGTACTTATTACTACAACTTACACCACAATTTGCATCTGTTAGACAGACTGATTACCATGGTCATCATGAGCATCCAGGCAATTGACTGTTATTAGTCATTTCATCATTACATTTTTAAAGGTATTGCAAGTACTTTTAGCCAAAAGGCAAAGTTACTGTAGATTCATAAACTCTTTGGATTAATCAGAAATCTAATAAATACACAATATTAAAGCTTAATAAATTTACCTTTCAAATACTATGTAAATATTAATTAATGAGTCTTCAAAGGGTATTTTTGTCATGGGTATTGATATTAGTATTGCTGTTCACTTGATACAGAATATTACTCCATGAAACTGCCAAAGATCCTGGCAGTGACTCAGTGAAGGTTATGATCAGAAGTCAGAGGTTCTTGACTTGGGGCTGCGTTCATACTATGAGACCACATCATAATGTGTTTGAAAAAACATGCTCTGAAACCAGTGAATGCTGTTCCATGTTAAAATGTAAAAACCTGATTTCTCCCCTTAGTTAAGCTGGAAAAGGCTTTCTTTATAAGTTTTATATATATAATGAAGAGAAAAATTAAAATGTGGCCTAAGACTTAAGAAACATATGTGGTCAAAAAGGATCAACTAAGAGACTATCTGAGAGCAGAAAAAACCTAACACCGTTCAGGTATATGATTGTACTACATTAACTGTACTATTTTGTGTTAACTGTACTAAATTGTTACTACATATAATTGTACTGCAATGAAAAATTCTTCATTTGTGAAGTGTTTCAAGATTATTCTGTAGCAAACAATATGGGAAATCAGCCACACTTACACATTTTCTCTAAAATGTCGCTAGCTTTCAGATGGAAAATGCATTTATTGTTTCTTTTCAGTAGTTTCTATTCAATTTTCAATCTTTCATCCTAAAAATCCTACTATCTACATACATTGTAGTAGTATCTTTCAAACCAGTGCAAGTCAAGTTGCTAATTACATGCAGTGGGTGATGACTGCTTGACAGCAGAAAGGCATTTTCATCTCCAGACTTAGAATAAACTATTATTATAAATATGTTTTGTTCCATTTTAATCAGGGTATTGAGGCAATTGTTATCTTTGCACAGCAATCAAATGGCCAGCTTTGGAATTCAAGAAGCTCAAAAACTCATTAGGTATTTCTGTTCTAAGCTGCAAACCCATCATTTGCTGCTCAAGTCACATGCCATGTGAAATGTAACACAGATTCATTAATGAGGAGGACTGAGTATTTTCTGTCACAATTGACCAGGAAATTTTCT